AAGTGAATGACTAAAGTGACCTAAGAAACATTAAGGCCTGGGCAGCTTAGAGATCATTCTAGTCTTTAGGATGGTACAAAGAAATTGAATAAATAGTCAATGGTCATCGTTTATCTATGATAGTTGTGCTAGAATGAGTTGAAGCCTTTTGAAGAGCAAATGGATCTAAGACATGCTTGCACCGTACTTACCAGTCTTTTAGGAATCAGGGCACCTGGCTGACTTTCTCTGCCACTATGCACAAGCCCCACCCAATGCCACCAACTCCTAGTCCTTCTATACAAAGTGCCCCATGGAGCTGCTACTAATCACACACTTGCAAGTGATTTCTATTGGAATTTTATTTCCATGTGTATATCGGTCTAGGTGCTGATTTCATTCCCCTACGTACGGAAGTTCAATAAACGTTGTGATCTATGGCAAGTAATATAGTTTGGATGTTTGTCCCTCCAAATTGCATGTTGAAATTTGGTCCCTAGCCGGGCGCAGTGGCGTGTGCCTGTAGTCCCAGCTACTCGGGAGGCTGAGGTGGGAGGATCGCTTGAGCCCAGGAGTTCTGGGCTGTAGTGCACTATGCCGATCGGGTGTCTGCATTGTTTGGCATCAATATGGTGACCACCTGGGAGCGGGGGACCAACAGGTTGCCTAAGGAGGGGTGAACCAGCCCAGGCAGGAAACGGAGCAGGTCAAAACTCCCATGCTGATCAGTAGTGGGATCGCGCCTGTGAACAGCCACTGCACTCCAGCCTGGGCAACATAGTGAGACCCTGTCTCTTAAAAAAAAAAAAAAAAAGAAAGAAAAACGAAATTTGGTCCCTAGTGTTGGAAGTGGGCCTGGTGGGAGGTGCTTTGGATTGTGGGGGCAGATCCATCATGCATGTCTTGGTGCCATCCTTCTGATCATGAATGAGTTCTTGCTATTAGTTCCTGAAAGAACTGGTTGTTGAAAAGAGACTGGCACCTCTGTCTTTCCCTTCCTTCCTCTCACTATGTGATCTCTGCACATGGCACCACTTTGCCTTCTGCCATGAGTGGAAGCTTTCTGAGGCCTCAACAGAAGCAAATGCTGGTCCCATGCTTCTTGTACAGCCTGCAGAACCATGAGCCAAAGAAACCTCTTTTCTTTATAAATTACCCAGCTTCAGGTGTTCCTTTATAGCAACATAAATGGACTAAGACAGCAAGCCATTGGGAATGCTTTTTTTTTTTTTTTTTGAGACGGAGTTTCGCTCTTGTTAACCAGGCTGGAGTGCAATGGCGCGATCTCGGCTCACCGCAACCTCCACCTCCTGGGTTCAGGCAATTATCCTGCCTCAGCCTCCTGAGTAGCTGGGATTACAGGCATGCGCCACCATGCCCAGCTAATTTTCTGTATTTTTAGTAGAGACAGGGTTTCACCATGTTGACCAGGATGGTCTCGATCTCTTGACCTCGTGATCCACACGCCTCAGCCTCCCAAAGTGCTGGGATTATAGGCATGAGCCACCGGGCCCGGCTGGGAATGCTTTAAAAATTTTTTTTTGAGACATCCTGCACAGGATCTTTTTTTTTGAGAAACGCTCTTTTTTTAAAATTTCAAATGTAATCAGGCAGCCTCCTGAACTAGATTAGGTTCAGAGCAACTCCTGGAAATGGTCTTTGATACTCAGTTTTTTCCCAGGAGTTATTTTTTCCTTTATCTAAGTCACAAGAACATTGTAAATGAATTCATTTGTTTATATGTATGATTTCTTAATCTTTCGGAGTCATTGACCCCTTTGGGATAATGGAGCCTCTCTCTGAAAAAAAATGCCCCTTCATCACGATTATACTCAAATTAGGAACCCCTGGATTAAGTATTTTCTTTTTGAGACAGAGTCTCGCTCTGTCACCCAGGCTGGAGTGCAGTGGCGTGATGTCAGTTCACTGCAACCTCTGCCTCCTGGGTTCAAGCAATTCTCTTGCCTCAGCCTCCCAAGCAGCTGGGACTACAGGTGCCCGCCACCACGCCCAGCTAATTTTTGTATTTTTAGTAGAGACAGGGTTTCACCATGTTGGCCAGGCTGGTCTTGAACTCCTGACCTTGTGATCTGCTGGCCTCGCCTCCCAAAGTGCTGGGATTACAGGCGTGAGCCACCGCGCCCAGCTGGAACACAAAAATGTTTGCTGTAGCCACGCCAGTCATCGGTCTGTTAGCTCCCAGCTCCATCCTTGGTTTCCTCTGCATTTCCGGGACCGAGAGCCTGCAAAACACATTTCCCAGATTCCTTTGCTAATTGGCTTCTGACCAGGTGCTGCCAATGGAAGGCACTGGTGGAAGACTGGAGAGAGGAGGAAGAGAGATGCCATGTCCTCTGCTTTGGTGGCACTGCCCCTAGTGGTAGCAGCCACCCCAATGAGTGGGGACCCGGGGCTCAGAAATAGCTGTGACAGGAGTAGCTTCAGAGACAGAGGGACTCTGGCAGTGGCAGAAATGGTGGTGGATCGGACTCAGCAGTACAATCATTGGGAAACACCATTGCCAAACACAGAGCAACAGCAGTTTCCCTCTTGCTCCAGCCTAGAGTTTCAGGCAGTTCTAGAACTCTGGGCAACCTTATTTCACCACCCCACCCCCCGAGCTCTTTCAACAGTTTTGAAATCAATTCCCTACATTATCTCCATTTAAAATACTTAGAATGGGGCCAGGTATGGTGGCTCACACCTGTAATCCCAGTACTTTGGGAGGCTGAGGCGGGCGGATCACAAGGTCACAATGAACCATCCTGGCTAACATGGTGAAATCCCATCTCTACTAAAAAAAATACAAAAAATTAGCCGGGTATGGTGGTGGGTGCCTGTAGTCTCAGCTATTCGGGAGGCTAAGGCAGGAGAATTGCTTGAACTCAGGAGGCGGAGGTTGCAGTGAACTGAGATAATGCCGCTGTATTCCAGCCTGGGCAACAGAGCGAGACTTCATCTCAAAAAAAAAAAAAACCAAAAAAAAAAACCCAAACTTAGAATGGTTCCTGTCTTTCTGACTGGATGCTGACTGATTTTCTGATTCAAGAAAATATGATGAATATAGTTCCAGCTACTCGGAAGGCTGAGGATCGCTTGACCCCAGGAATTCCAGGCCAGCCTGGAAAACGTAGTAAAACCCCATCTCCAAAAAAAGAAAAAGAAAAAAATTAACATGATAAGGGGTGGAGAAGGGTTATGGTGAGAGATTTGGTGGAATAGGTAATTCAAACCCAGATCCCTCATGTTCATGTTAGGAAATGACCAGGTGTGTGGACTTTATCCTAATAGCAATGGAGACCCATGAAAGATCTTAAAGACATGGTCGATTTGGTCACTTTTGATTTTTATAAAGATCACTTGGGCTACAATACAGAGAATGGGTTTGAGCCACCTGAACTGAACACCACATGTCCAATTAGGAAGCTGGGACCAGGATCGAGGAGAGAACTTGGTGGTCTGCACTCGGGTTGTGGCAGTGAGGGTGAAGCGAAGGGACTGGAAGGATTTGTATGAGGTGGAATGGCCAAACTTTAACGGGGTACTGTGGCAGATTAAAGATGGCTACTACCGGGCACGGTGGCTCACACCTGTAATCCCAGCACTTTGGGAGGCTGCAGCTGGTGGATCACTTGAGGCTAGGAGTTTGAGACCAGCCTGGCCAACATGGTGAAACCCCATCTCTACTAAAAATACAAATATTAGACGGATGTCGTGGCACGCACCTGTCATCCCAGCTACTCAGGAGGCTGAGGCAGGAGAATCGCTTGAATTTGGGAGACGGAAGTTGTAGTGAGCCGAGATCATGCCTAAAGTTGCACTTTAGCCTGGGCAACAGAGCAAGACTCCATCTCAAAAAGAAGAGAGAAGGCCGGGCGCGGTGGCTCAAGCCTGTAATCCCGGCACTTTGGGAGGCCGAGGCAGGTGGATCACGAGGTCAAGAGATCGAGACCATCTTGGTCAACATGGTGAAACCCCGTCTCTACTAAAAATACAAAAAATTAGCTGGGCATGGTGGTGCATGCCTGTAATCCCAGCTACTCAGGAGGCTGAGGCAGGAGAATTGCCTGAACCCGGGAGGCGGAGGTTGCGGTGAGCCAAGATCGTGCCATTGCACTCCAGCCTAGGTAACAAGAGTGAAACTCCG